ACCAACTCGCCTCCCACCCAGCCGGACAAGTCAACTCGATCCACGCCTGCCACTGCCGCCGTCACTCCGCCAGCTCTCGATACGAGGCCTGTTCGGTCCTCCCCTACCACCCCCTGGACTGAGCCGCGAGATGCATCAGACTACATCGACGTCGACGGCGTCTTGACGCGAGGTGAACCGCAATCCACCACAATGGCCACCACCACGACCACCATGACCTCTACCCTCCCGGTGCGAGACCGTGCTGCTGCTCCTCCGTCGTCGTTCAAGTCTGAGATCCTGTCCCACGCCAACGAGATGCTTTTGGAGCACCGCGAATTCCTCGACCGCACCCGAAGCAGGGCCTCCATCTCGCTTGACCAAGACTCCAAGCTCTCGGGACTGCCGCACCAACACGCTCACCAACATTCCCACTCGTCAACCCCCAACGACTCAATAACACCCACCAACGGCAGCTACACTAGTGCTGCAGCATCCCCTGACCACTCCACCGATGCGGGAGACGAGACTGATTCACAAGACTCTCACCATGACCGCCACAAAGCGCCTGCTGCCACGGAGAAGACGGAGAAGATATGGTCCATTGGCTCTGGCGATGGTGGCGAAGAGGACGGCCTAGTGGAACAATCAGTCGCCGAGGCCATTGCCGGTGTGGAACACAATGCACGCAGTCGCAAGTCTAGCTACAGTTTGCGCTTCTTCAAGGAGGGACTTCCCCCAGACGACAAGGCACGGCGCAAGGATACCAGGGCCTCGCATCGCGATAAGCATGTGGCTACGATAGACGAAGAGCCTACTACTTTAGCCGAGAAACAGCCACTAGAACAGTCGCACAAGACGACGACAAAGGCAACGCCGACAGCAGACGCGAGAGTGCCTGCGAAACTAACTAGGACCGAGTCTTTTCCAACACGAGTGTCTGATGCAGGGCCTATTGTCGCCTCGCCTCTTGAAGAAACCAGCTTTACGCTGCAGCAAAGGGAACAAGGTGGCGAAAGGGCTTCTGCACCGCAATCATCTCTTCATCATGACGAGGCCAAGCTGGAGCCACCGCTTCATCATGAGGTGGGGCCGGACACGGCTCAAGTCGCCGAGGTGGAGAAGCAGCGGACGTCACATGACTCCGACGTCGGCCATTTTGATGCCTCCGGACACAAGGATGGAGGCGCAGCTGCCGATGCCGAGGCTGACGTCGAAGCCAAAATCGATGATGCCGAGACCAAAATCGATGCCAAATCCGTCGAGCAGGGCCGGGCCGGCGGTCACGTAAATGACCACGCTAATGGCAAGGCTCATAGCGACTCTGACGCAGACACTGACTTGGAGGCAGAGGCCGACGAGTCCGGCGAGGAAAAGATTTCGTCCGCCGTGTTCCACCCCCATCAGGAACTGGATGACGGCCGTGCAAGCGTGAGTGAGGGTAGTGACAATGATGTGGTGCGACGGCCGAGGTCGCGCTCACAGACTAAGAGTCATCCCTGGCTAGTCAAGGCCGATGAGCCTGAGCCCGAGATTGAGAATAAGGATGAGAGTTCCTACCAGGTTTCGCATGTTGCCTCCCGTGAGAGCCTTGTTTCACGTCGTGCAGAGGCTCCGGCAGAGATCCAAGTCCCTACCGAAGCCGCCGTGGACGTTGACAATGAAGTGAACCAAACCACCCCTACCAAATTATCCCGAGCCGTGACCCATCATGAAGACCATGTCCATGACCACCAGCACCAGGCCCGTCGACCCCTAGGGGCCATTGAGCTCATTCCATACAAGCATCAGGTCGGCGGCCACAATACGCTCTGGCGATTCTCTCGCCGAGCCGTCTGTAAGCAGCTCACCAACCGAGAAAACGAATTCTATGAAACCATTGAACGATATCATCGTGATTTGCTGCCATTCCTTCCTCGGTAAGTTTCCTATGCTGTGCTTGCTTCTTGAGACCCTATATCTCTCCCACCCTTTTCTTTCTGACTCCACATTTGGAATTTCCATCGCTAACACGGTCTCGTTTTCTAGGTATATCGGAGTGCTGAATGTGACATTCCAGAGGAAGCCTCGGAGAAAGAGCACTATTCGAAAAGAAGAGACGGCGGATAAGCGCCAGCCGGGGTCAAATGGTAGCAACGAGGCCGGGCAGACAACATCCACCCCTGCGCGGGTCATTAGCCAATCTCTTGCCAGCTCCAACGTGCCCATTCCCACCGTGACATTCGACGACAATTGGCACATTCTTCCTCGCAACCTTCTCCAGCCATCGCCCGTTCTGGACCCAGCGCACCGCCGTAGTACGTCACTCTCCAAGATATCGCCCGCGTCGCCTCCCTCGTCCAAGGTGCCGGTGCGACCTCACATGGAAGAGCGCCCTAACAGTTGGGGGGCAACGACGGTAAACAAGCGACTGCGCAATGAGGTGTTCAACGACGCATTCCTCAAACAGCCAATCGAAGTCCAGAAACATCGGCGCCCGTATCAGCGACCCGTTCCTTTGCCAAATCTCCAGCGACTGCTCCGAACTAGCAACTCTGACCCCAGCCTTGCTGAGAAACGTATTAACAATGCGGAAAGCAAACCCATGGTAGCCAGCCCTCTCAAGCCCCTGACTCCACTTGTACAGCAGATGAGCGATCCCGAATCTCAGGTCGACCATCTCTCAGCCGAGCCGCGAGAAGACCACGTTGAAGTCAAGGACGTTACGGGTACTAGTGCTCCCGAACCAGAGACATTGACGACCAACCCTTTGCTGGCCAAGAAGAAGCGCAGGTACTCGGGAAGTGGCCTTCGACGCAAGCCACAGGATGTTCGAGACTCAAGGGGAGATCTCAAGTATTTTGAGGAGGCGGACGATGCAGATTACAAGCGCGACCGAGATGGCGAAGGAGCCAAGCAAAATACCGCCCCTACTACTCTTACTACTACAACTCCCGCCAACGAGCCCCTCGAGATGGTGGCGGCCGCTACTACACCTGCTACTACTGCATCCACCACCGCCCAAGAGCCCGACTCTACTGATAATTCGACGACCGTCCAGCAGGCCCTTCAGCATCCGTCGGTGGAATTTGCGCAGGTGCTTCGACCAAACAACCCCAAGGAAGCCAAAACTGAGCGCGACAGGGTGGAGTACTTTTTACTCCTGGAAGATCTCACAGCTGGCATGAAGCGGCCGTGCATGATGGATCTCAAAATGGGAACGCGCCAATATGGCGTTGAAGCATCTCCTAGCAAGCAGAGGTCCCAGCAGGAAAAGTGCAGGACGACCACCTCGTACGAGCTTGGGGTACGCATCTGCGGACTGCAAGTCTGGAATGTCAAGACACAGACGTATGACTTTCAGGACAAGTACTTTGGCCGAAAAGTCCAAGCGGGCAGCGAGTTCCAGGCCGCCCTTACCAAGTTTCTGTACAACGGTGTCGACTTGCACTCCATCCTTCACCATATCCCAGTCGTATTGAGAAAGCTTTCGCAGCTGGAGCAGATTGTCAGCGAGCTGCGCGGCTACCGCTTCTACGCTGCGAGTCTGCTCATGTTCTACGACGGAGATGCCTCGGACGAGAACGGAGGCTACGAGACGGCGTATGACTCCATGACGGACGCCGCGACGGATACCGAGGAGACGATCCGGAAGAAGAGGAACAAACGTGAGATTGATTTCAAAGTGGCAGACTTTGCCAACAGCCTCACGCCGCTGGACAAGGTGGAAGACAAACCATGCCCGCCTCAGCACCCCAACCAACCGGATCCTGGCTTCCTCAAAGGGCTGCGAAGCCTGAAGAAGTACTTTTTGCAGATTCAGCGAGATACGAGAGCCGAATTGGGGCTTGACCCTCGCGGGTGGAGCTCATCCCAGGGCCTTGATGCCATGGAGGATGAAGAAGACGATGGAATGATTAGTGTGTAATCTTATTGTTTTCCATACAGAGGAAGTGCGAGGTCATGTCCCAAACGCATGACAACGCCTCTTGTCTTTCTTGTTCCCTGATTTTCATTGCTTTAAACATCTCTTATTCGTTTCCCCTCCTCTTCCTTTACTTTATATCCTCTTCTCACGTTTCAACGACGCACCGTTTATGATTTTCCTTGTCTACAACGGATACCAGGTTGGGTGGATAGCATGACGATGACGAGGAATACCTTACGACTTATCATCAGCTGCTGGACGCTTAAGCAAATGACGACGACCCACGAAGCTTTTTTGTAATGCCGAGTATACTATTTGCGTATCTTCTTCTTTTCTTCTTTCCTTCATTCTTTTCTTCTGTCGTCCAAGGCATCCTCTATACATCAACTCGGATGGTATTCATGGCCAGATGAGCGAGGAATCCACGAACCGACAAGCAAATTGCTTTTTTTCACTGTACGGATAAGGGCGAAGCAATTCCCGGTTCCGCAATCATAATGCCATTAGCCTTTAGACAAACTGTCGGACCGACATTTGATCTAGCGTGGAATCAGACTGTCTTACTATGTGTGCTCTTTTTATCTTCTAAATGCTTCAAGTCTTTTTGGCGGACAGGCGGATGGACGGCACGGCACGGCACGGCAAACGGCACTGGTACGATACTGGGCGGATAACAAGGGGCGCAGATTCTTTTTTGAGCTTTTCATTTCTTTTTGCGGATTGTTTTTTTTTTTGTGTCTTTTTTTATGTTGTTGTGTTTTCTGTTTTTGGAACGGAATGAGAATGATGCTTAGAATGGTAGATAAAAATTGAATTGAATTGTTTGTTACTGTATTTTGGAGTCCTTGGATGGTGATGATGTAGAAACTTGGTGAAACTGGAAATATGAGGGGCGCTTGATCAAGTCCGATGAGCTGCAGCTGTGCCACTCACTAATTTCACCGCTGCATCATCCGAAGACGTGAAACGCATCTCCTCTTTTACTCAGCCATGAAGCATCACGTCTGTCTCTAATCAGGCGCAGTTCCATCTACGACAGCTCCTCATCCTCTTCACCTCAGTCATTCATCATCACAGTCATAAAGACACGACCAGCAAAAAGAAAAAATAAAAAATGGGCGGCGTCATTTCAAGCATCCAAAGCAGCATCACCGCCATCACCAGCGTCATCCGCACCATCTCTTCGCTCAACGCAAAATACCAAGCTCTCCTGCGGCGCATCGAAACGGGGCCGTTTACGCCGGTGGAGAGCCCTACCGAGTCGTATTGGATGCGGGATGCGCCGTTTCCGGGGATTGGGGATGTGGTGGGCGAGATGCCCGATGAGGCGGATGTTGTCGTCGTGGGGAGTGGGATTACGGGTGCTGCTGCGGTGAAGACGTTGTGTGAGCTGTCTTGCTCTTCCTCTTCCTCTTCCTCTTCCTCTTCCTCTTCCTCTTCCTCTTCCTCTTCCTCTTCCTCTTCCTCTTCCTCTTCATCTGGAGATGGTGGTGAAAAGGCGCCGAGGATTGTGGTTCTGGAGGCGAGACAGCTGTGTAGTGGCGCGACGGCGAGGAACGGGGGACACATCAAGTGCACGCCGCACGAGGAGTTTTCGCGGCTGAGGAAGAGCTTGGGGGAGGAGAGGGCGAGGAAGGTTGTGAGGATGCAGATGAGGCATCTGGAGGTGCTGAGGGGGGTTGGGGAGGGGATGGACTGGGGGGAGGTGAGGGAGGTTGAGACGGTGGATGTGTTTCTTGAGGGGGAGGGGTTTGAGAGGGCGAGGAGGGGGGTTGAGGAGATGAGGGGGTGGATGCCGGAGGTTGAGGTTTATGTTTGGGAGGGGGAGGAGATGAGGGAGAAGGTGAGTGATGATGTCTAATGTTTGATGCTTGATGCTGATGATTTTGAGGATTAGTTTGGGGTGAATCGTCATATTGTCGGTGCGATATCGTATCAAGCTGGCGCCCTTTGGCCGTATCGTCTTGTTACGAGCACGTGGAACGATTTAATGACTCGATATCCAAACCTCACCATCAGTACACATACACCCGTCACGTCCATCAGTACAAACGACTCTTCATCCTTCCCATACACGGTTCACTCTTCTCGCGGCTCTATCCGTGCACGGCATATTCTCCATGCCACAAATGCCTACACGGGTCATCTCGTCCCCGCCCTTCGAGGTTGTCTGACGGGAGTACTCGGACACATGACGGCGCAGCAGCCAGGAGCCGGATTCGCGCCTGTTTGTCATGGCGGACGGTCTTGGTCAATAATGTACGGAGCGGGATTTGAGTATATAACGCAACGGCCAGATGGTAATGATGGATCTCCGGGTGATTTGATGATTGGAGGAGGCTTGTTTAGGAGTAAAGATGAGGGATTGGATCAGATTGGTGTGTGGGATGATTCGAGGGTGGATGCTTTCCCGTTGATGCATCTCAGAGGCAGCATGCCCACGGTATTCGAGCCGAAATGGGGTGCCGGGGGACAGTTGAAAGGTGCTTGGAGCGGAATCATGGGGTTCACGGGTGATGTGCTTCCCTTTGTGGGAAGTATCTCGCCTGAAGCCGGGGGACTGAGGAAGAGTCTTGGAGGAGGACTGGAGAAGGGCGCCGGAGAGTGGATAGCTGCTGGGTTTAATGGAGAGGGCATGGTGTGGGCGTGGTTGAGCGGTGTTGCTGTGGCGATTATGATGCTGGGTAAGGAAGGGGACGATTTGGAGGAGAGTGTGGGACGGCCTGGGGGGAAGTTGGGGGAGTGGTATCCGGTGGAGGAGGTTAGGGTTGATGGGGGGAGGTTGAGGAGGGCGCGGTTGGAGAATTTGGCGAATGAGATTTAAGGGGTTGATGAGGAGGGAGGGGAATACTTGTTGTGATGATTAGTTGAACTAGTATATTCCTGTAGTACCTGATTCCATTGTTTCGTTCTCTAGCATCAATTACTTCTATTGAGAGGTGCTATCACTAGGTACATATATTTCATCTAGCAGGAGATGATATAGCCACACTATACAAGTATGCTATTATGCACTACTATAGCTCTAATAGTTATGTAGATCTTAAGACAATCTACTCTGAGTCTTCAATCTAGTACAAGTCAAGGTCTCTGTTATCTTCATCATCCTCATCAATCTCGTCCTCGTATGAATCCAGTTCCAGTTCCCATTTCCAAAATCTAGCAAAGCCAGACATGGCTGCAAGTCTAACAGCCACCCACTGAAACTCAAGGGCTGCCTTCATCTTGAGGGCCTCTTCTCTATTGTCGACTGTCACCTCGAACGACGCTCCAGATGACAAGTAGTAGAAAAAATCCCTTTGTTCGTCTGTAACTGTAATTTGCAGCATAGCATCAATGGCGCCATCGTAAGCCGGTTCAACCCTCAGATCGGGTTCGACCTCATTTCTCGGCATCCAATTAAATTGGATTTGAATAGCAGTACTTCCATCGTCATTTGTGGCCATGTCTAGGTACCTCAGACCAAATAAACATTCGGACCACCATTTACACAAAGTCGGGTGCAAACAAAGCATGTTCCAACTTTTGTTGAAAGCACCTAGGGAATCTGTAGCCATAATGCGGCCAATCTGCACTCCAACGTCTCCCATAAGCTTGCTCAAGAAGATGGAATCTGTGACGGTATCCATATTCATATGGCTTGTGGTAAGACCAACAGGAGCAATATAGCAGGGTATTGCGTATGTAGTCCCAGTCAATACGCACACTCGTAGATCTTTAAGAAAGCACTAAGAATACATCTCCGGTTAGTAAGGGTAGTAGCTTTACAGGATGATGAAGGAGATTTCGTATACCTTTTCGTGACCCTGATTATTCCGGTAGATGCTCTTAGAGGCAATTTGTGTCACCATCGCCGCGAATATGTTTCTAGCTGCAGGGAATGTCCCGTGGACCACTAGGTCGTCATTAGTGAGAAACCCTCACGTATAAATATGCATTACGTGTTTGCAATCACATACAAAAAGGCAGATGATAATAGAGTGTCGAATCAGTCATCATAAATGAGGCATCTTGACGAAGATCCTGCAGAGTCTCGACTGACATCAAGGAGAGAGCTGCTATCTGAATGTTGGAAAAGTGGAATGGCTCCTCAGATGTACCAAAGTCTTGTTGTAGACGCCTGCGAAGCTCTCCGATGAGCTCAAGCCTGAGGGAAAGTTCCTTCTCAGGGAAAATCGAATCGAGTGTCACACGTCTTGGGTGTTCTCGAAGGAATCGGCACAACTTTTTCTTCTGGCTTTCAGTCGCTTCGGCAAGAAAGGCCGTGGCATCAGCTAAAATTGCTTCGTCAGAAATATCGAAAGCGTTGTCCATGGCGATTAATGAGTTATTATAGTGATAAAAGATGCTTAGATAGTGGGGGAAAAAGAAAGTGAAAGGATGGATCGATGCTGAGAATGAGAAAGAGAAATAATAAATAAAACTGAAGAGCGGATGGGGTTTGTTAAATTGGATAGCAAACGGAGGTGAATCCGACTAGCAGAGTGGGTTGCGTCTGCAGGATTCCGATTCGACGCGCTTCATCTCCTCTACACCACTGGAGACAAGGTAACAAAGAGCTGCCTACCTAATAGTTACTTGGGAGTATCTGTGATTGCGGATGCTAAAAACAAAGTAACTACATCATCAAATAGTATAACAAGGTGGCGATATCATCAAGTAGAAGTAGAAACTACTAGCCTAGGTAAAGAGCATCAGAGACTATACAGCTTGCAGAGATAAATAGCGCCAAATACATCATGTATTTCAAGGAATTTGAATCGTTTTGCCTCTAGCCTTGGAGAGAGAGCCAAGCAGGCAGATACCTACATGGCCACCTGTCGGCTTGCCATATATTTTCCCAGGTTGTAACATCACGGCTGTTTGTTGTCTCAAATCCATCTTGCGGTACCGCGTAATCGTTGGCTTCCAACGCCCATTCCTCCGTATAACCATCAACCTATCAGCAGGCTTGTTTCGTCACTGAAACATTGCGTATCTCTCGCATCTTGTCCTCAACTTCTACTTCATCTTCTCTGCCTCAGCCTTAGAATAACGCTCCACTCCAGCCTGATGCCCACGCGACCTAAGAGCCGCGCTTAAGCATTCAGAAATTCTAATGTGAGAGAATGTCCAGCTGCATTGTTCCGAAAGATAGCTTTCAACGATAAATCTTCCGATAGCTGTAAAGCCGCTTCGGAAATATCGTTACTTGTAGTATTGAAAATCGATCCGTACGGATTGTCGGTCTTCTTAGTATACTTAGTATTGCTTGTATATTGCACAGTATCCAACAGTTCTGCTCTCTCTAGCAGCTTAAACAACGATGCGTCTGGTGCTACTTCTATTATACCAAACTGAGGGCTGTCAGCTTCTTTTAGAGGAGTTTCGATCTGGCCTTTTCGTAGCATTGAAGAGTTTTGAGAGTGAGATCGCATGATGAAGCGAAACTTGTTTTCCACGTCTTTAATCGTTTTGCAGCGATAAAGAATATCTTCCTGGAAATCAACATTGAGGCGCTCCTCTATTTCGAAATGGATAGCAACGGCTGTGAGTGAGTCGAAACCTAGCTCCCGTAATATAGTCGTACTGTTGATTTCGGACTTGTCTAAATCAAGCTGGACGGCAAAGGACTCTAGTATTAGTTCTCTGACTTTGGAGCTGTTCAAGGGAAGAGGAAGACGCTCTTTTGAGTCTAGGCTGTCGGGAAGTGAGTCCTCTTGGCGCGATGCATCAGGCGCTGTAGAATCGTCTTGGCTCGAATTGAGTCTGCATTTGACGACAACCAAGTAGCCAGGTAATTGGAGATTTGATGCAATATGCACTATCAAGAAACTTGCACCAGTTTGGTTGTGTAGCGTAAGGTGTAATAAGGAATCTACAGATCTCTCCGGGGGAAACATGCCTGCGATGAAGTAATCGGGAGGCAGAGAATCGAAGTGCAGACGGCAGTTCAACCGAGGCCGAATCAAGTCTCCATGCCGGTGGAAACTTGGTACATGTATTGTCATCCTCTTGCTTGCGGCAATCTCATTTTCTTCTACCCAATGGGGGATTCGATTACACAGCCGATAATACTCGTCCGGCTTGGGTTTCGCCCCATCTGACCGCGATGTGCATCGAGCGAGCGGTACAGCAAGTAGACGAGTCGTGACACCCTTTGTGCCCTTGGCTGCCAGAGTGCAGTTCAAAACACAATAAAGTACGTCTCCATTGTCAAAGTCTCCATAAACTGGCAGGTCAAGTCGGAGTCCCCTCTGAGACATGGAAAAGCCATCTCCAGGGGCTGCCGCACCTCTTGATACCATATCTCCACAGCAGAGAAAATCCAAGGGCGACTGAGCCAGGGCTGTAGAGACTTTCCATAAGGCTGCGTCGTCACGACCGAAACCCCATGCCAAGATGGATTGATCGTCAGACTTTTTGATAATCTCCTCCTGGAGGCGTTGGAAAGCCTTGGGCCCTTCGCCGTATAACAACGGCATGTTGACATCAAAGATGCCCAAGAGACAGTACGCAATGTCTTCCTCCCTGGTCGTAGTGCGGCGCGATGCCCACGACATCTTCTGCGCGATGCTGATAGAATCCATGGCCCGGCGCGCATCGATGACCGAGTCAACCAGTACCTCTTGGGAGATGCCAGTTGCCGCCGCGATTTGTTCTCGGAGAGAAACCTTGTCGCCAAGCTCTAGCCAAGCAGAATCAAAGAACCGGACCGACTGCGGAGCAAGAAGCTCTTGAAGTGTCCAACCTCTAGTGAACCATCGTGGTCGTTTGTATCGTACCAGCGCCCTTTGTATCTCACGGGGCTCTGCGTCCGGACCGGGGTGATTCACGTCGGATATATATACATAGCATTCGAGCGACATCTCGTACCATTTAAACATGGAGTTGATTGCCTCTTGGAGCTCCGCACTGCTTGACTTGTCGATGCAACATGTATCGATCCACACGAATTCGAAATCGTCTTTGATCGCTTGTCGACAGCATTTCATCACTTTATCCCAGCCTTTCTTGGACTCTCGGTGAGAATGCCCATTTATGATATCTTGAAACGTAATTTCCTCGTCTTCCCATGTATGAGACAATATTGCATACGGGGGTATCTCATCGCCCACAAATTCGCAAAGTTTTTGAGTCTTTGTGCCTAGTAGCCACATGTTGTAGACTTTTGGTGTTGCGTTAGGTATGTCTTTTTTCTCTTTTTACTTTATTGAAGAGAGGAGCTTGCTTGAAGGGTTGCGGAACGGTTAAAAGGGAAGCGAATACTATAACAACAGGAAGTGGAGGCAATAATACCGCAACACAATTGGGCAATAAGATTCTAGGCACCAACATCTAGGGCACCAATATGCAAGGCAGTAATAGAGGCTGTGCAATACCGCAGATAATAAGCTGCTAGACTACAACCCAGCATTTAGGCACACAGATAGGCGCAAATAAGAGGCGCATATCCCCGCCAGGTATGGTTCAATCAGCGAACCAGAATAAGGATGGTGGTTTCAAGTCGACTCTAGTTGATTAAACATAGTTATAAGTACCTGTACCCAATAAGATACCCAACCTTGACTTCCTCGGTTAGTTGAATAGCCAGTTGATGACCAACAGTTAGGTTAAATTGACCTGAGCTCACTGATTGGGCGAAAGGATTGCCCCAAATTATCCTGCCTGACCTATCTGCCACGATAGTAATGGTAGCAATATTAGAAACACCAGCAATAGTATGTGCAATACAGAAAATGGCAAGATATGTGTTCTTGGTTCTGTCGATGTTAGGAACAGGTAAAGTAAAAGGTAGTTCATTCCCAGCATAAGCACTCCTGTCTTGTATCTCAACGGATCCTCATAACTCATGGACAAAATAAGAATTAGGAGAGAAGAAACTTGAACAAGAACAAATCAAGGTCAAACGTATAAACACTTTGGCCATACCTCCAAGTCATAGAAGCATCAAGACTTTTGAGATTCAACTTGCCAACGAGGAGGATGCCCAGAAGATGAAGGCAGCTCTGGACGTGCAATGGGTGGCTGTTAGGCTTGCGGCCTGATCTGGAGCTGCCAGATCCTGGGAATGGGGGCTCGGTAACGACTTGTTTGATGACGGAGATGATAATAGGGATTGTGATTCGTCTGAAATCGAGGACGAAGAGTAGAATCTCTCCAAGTCTGCATGGACACTAGAGCCATCGCGGTACATGGTAACATCGTGTGGCTCTAATATGTTCACTGGATGATAGTACCTCATTAGAAAGAGTGAGAACATGACAAACCTATGCAGGTATCTGCCCGCCTGTCAGTCTATATCCCTCTTCTGTCAAATAGGCGACTATATATAATATATAGTTTCTAAATGTTAGTAAACAATCTTCAAATATGAATCTTCATCGCCGTATCTTGAGTTGCAGGTTAGCCCCCATACCATCACACGCGTCTTCGCAATTCACCTGGCCCTCACTCTGCTGCCAGCTGGTCGCGTCCATCGCCAACGCGTCAACACGTCAAACACGCTGCTTTGTTTACTTTCTCCCCGAGTAATCTCTTCTCCCATCTGGCCCCATTGTTTTGACCAGCTGCCTGCCAAAGCGGCCCTCTTCTCCCGCAACAACTCAACTCAACTCACCTCAACCACACAACCTCGCTCCATCAACCTGCTCATTGTCGAGGCCAACATGGAGAATCAGGAGCCAGAGGCAGCCATGCAAGACGCTCCTCAGGAAATGCCGGGAGAACTCGCCGAATCCATCGACAACTGGAGACATTCGGTCCCCAGCCGCATGGAGCGCGAGGATCCCTTCGTCAACGATGGATTCGTGCCTCGACCCCAAACTCGCATCGTAAGTACCCTCATCACCACCACCAGATCCATCATTCTCATTGCGCGTCACAGACCTTTCGTGAACCGGAGAAGCCTGTTCGTCGCCCATCGACCCGCATCGCCATGATGCGAGCCGCCATCCCGCTCTTTCGCCGCCCCAACGGCCCCAACGCGCTCCAGCCGTCCATCATGGAACGCCCCGAGACGGCCCTGGGAGTTCGGGACGAAGACGAGGACGAAGTGGTGGCTGAGGCGAAGAACCCCATCCGAGGCTTTTTTGCCCTGTTTGGTCGCAAGAGAAAGCACCGTAGTCCGTCGCTTTCGCCCACTCCCACGGTTGTCCTCGATACGCCCTTGACTCTTCACTTTTTGTTTGTCGGCGCCCAGGGTGCTGGACAAACGTCTTTGCTTTTGTGAGACTTGACTCGCCTCGTTCCAGATTCTTGCGGTGTGAGAAGACTCGTGCTGACGATGGGACAGCCGTGCTCGCTATGGCCATTTCCCCGACGTAAGATTGAAACGGCTGATGCCACCACTCAAGGTATACCCATGAGACAAGTCGAGATACTAATCACAGTGCAGTCGAGCGCCATCACTCGCACCTGCTACGAGACGTACACCAACGTCCGCATGTACCACTCTCAGCCGGTCCGCGTCGAAATGTAGGACACCTCGGGCGCGCCAGACTTGAACACGGTTGAGCGACTGTCGTACGTGCAGTGGGACGGCATCTTCCTTTGCTTTGACATCAAGGACAAGACTTCTCTTTTCACCATTCTGCAGTGGGTAAGTCGAGTATCGTATCGCCAGCAATCTTTGCCTTTATCCACCAGAGCAGACGAGCTGACAGAGCGTTGTCACAGTGGCAAAATGCCGTGCAGGGTGGCTTCCTTAGCCAGCAGCAGAGCGAAGTTCTTCTTCACCTCATCGGCATGAAGAAGGACCAGCGCGCCCAGTGCCTTGATGAGGCCCACCGACTTCAAGGTCCCTTTGATCCTCAGCCATATGTGCCTTTTCCTAGCTGCTGCGTGATCCCTGGAGATGTAAGTCTTCATGCAGAGCTCCAAGATGGAGCAATGTGCTAACGGGTTGTCTCTAGGCCATGTGGTACGCCCGTGGTATCGGATGCCACCGCTACCTCGAGTGCTCTGCCATGACCGGCGAAGGCGTCGACGTGATGCTCGAAGAAGCCGGCGCTGAAGCGACCAGACGAGCCATCGAGGTTGCTCGCAGAATGCGCATGGCGCCCGGCAAGAGACGCCTGTTCTAAACCGGGAGCTTGTGCAGTCGAAGTGAGCTTCTGAGTGAATCTTTGATCATCTGGGAGGATTTGATTTGATCTGCTTGAAGAATGGATAGGACAGCAGCCCTTGATTTGATGCCATGTTGGGGAGAGACGCTTCTTTGCTTTTGGCTGTGTGTGTAGCCTGCGCCTCACCGGGAATATTTCATGGCAATGTTTGAAATCGGGGCTTGCTCAAAGTTGACACTGCCGAATAAGGCATGCTGAATTTAAATCGCAATGTGTTGTTTCAATTATCGAGTCGTGATTTGTGATTTGTTGTTGCTGTTGTTCAGGTGATGTTGTTTTGATGTCTGAATCACTGTAAAGAAGGAGGGACAAACGAGTGGGGCACAAGTGTACAATGTATTCTGTACTCTGTACTCTGTACTTTGGACCTCACCTCAACTTGAACCATCGCCAATCAACATCACCGCTCTCCTTCTCACCCTCACCAACCCTTTTGCTCAGGCGCCGCATCTTGAAATCACGAGATCCCGCGTACTGCTACAAGCTTAAAATGTCTCTTTTGTGATTTCCACTCGCTGTAAGCCTCTACCACCCCTACAAAACTCACTATCCGCTTGTTTCTTACAGGGCTTAGATGAACGTGTCCATCAGAGATTCAGGGAGATAGACTCGGTCTTCAACAATCACCATGGCTCGCTCTACCCTCATCGCCTTCGGCCTCGCCACCGCCGTAGCTCTCGTCTCAGCCATCTTCACCATCGCCTCTTCCCCCCGCCTTCTCAAAACCAGCCTCCTCACCCTCGGCGCCTCCACCATCTCCCTTCTCATCTTCGCCTCTGTAAGATCACCTCATATCCAAAGCCAGACAAACACCAGTTTAACCAGCGCCAACCCATCTAGACAAGGCACATTCAACTCGTCTCCCATCGCAGCCGCAACAGAAGCCCAAGACAGCCCAACTCGCAAAACAGTCTCGTTCACCGAGCTCCCGTAGACTACAACCTCTTCGTCCTCGGCTCCGGCGGCCACACAAAAGAAATGCTCATGATGATGGACGACGGCTTCTGCGACTTCGCCAACTTCCACCGCCGCTACCTCATCTCCAGCGGCGACTCCATGTCGGAAAACCACGTCCACGACTACGAGGAGAGCCTAACGTCCCTCTGCGAGTCTCGGGGCACGTCCCCCGGCACCTACGACAAGTTCATCGTCACCCGCGCGCGCCGGGTCCACCAGCCGCTCTGGTCGACCCCCTTTACCGCGCTGCTCAGCATCGTCGAGATATTCCCCGCGCTGCTCATCCCGCCACAGGGCTTGGTTGGGATGAAGATGAAGCCCTGCTATCCCAGCCGCGTGTTTTCAAACGGGCCGGCTACCGGCTTCTTTGTTGCGCTGGCAGTGCACCTGCTCAAGATGGCTTATCTCGTCCCTGAGAGCTGCATGAAGGTCATATACATTGAGTCCTGGGCACGCATATCGACTCTTAGTCTGACGGGCAAGCTCTTATTCTACACCGGCATAGCAGACGTCTTTGTCACACAGCACCAAGAAGTGGCAACTCGGTATGGCGTGCAGAATGCAGGAGAAATTGTCTTTAATTCCCGTCGCTTGGATGACATAGAACCCAGCCCTGCCAAATCATGATAACATAATTTTATCTTCTTTTTTTATACAGCCGTCTCCCTGATTGTCTTCGTACAAGTCATATAATACAAGCCATGCCAGCCCTGCCCCGTCTACGCCTATGCCGTCACCGTCACAGGCTGCGCCTCCGCCGTCTCCGCCACGACTTCCTCCTCCTCGAGCCCAAACGTCTCAATGTCCGAACTTGCTCTTGCCTCCCGGTTCGCCGTCTCCTTGCCGGCCCAAATCTTCCAGTTCTCGTACTCCTGGTCCTCGAGCTGCATGCCAATGTCCAGCCTCGTCTTGCCAAAGTACGCGCCGACGTAGCGCGCCTCCTCGATGGCTATCCTCTTCTCGACCTCCTCTTGCTGGCGCAGCCTGTAGAATTCTCGGCGGACCGTGTCGTATGCCTTGCGCTTGCTCATCTTTTCGTTTTCCATTAACCACAGCTGGCGTTGCACGACGCTGAAGGCAGCAAAAATTTCATTAGTGAATATTCTTCCTCCCCCTCCATCGAGATATGTCGCGGGGCATTTCTTACCTTTCACCTGTTAGCGGGATACCCGGCTGTCTCAGCCCTTTACTCCAGTCACAATGCTGGTAATCCTTGCCGTCCAACTCCAGCACAACCCTCGGCCTGGCCAGCTCCCACGGGTGATCCTTGTAGAAGCTCGTCCGCAGCGCATCCTCCGGGTACGCAATGCTCTGCGGGCGGAACAGCTTCTTGGGCTTCGAGGCCTTTGGGTTGGGCACGCGGTGGCGCGGCGTGACGGTGCGCACGAGGGCCTCTGACGGGGGCACCGAGTTCATGACGGCGAACCACGGCGGCGTGGGCACGTTGTAGCCCGGCATGAGCTGGTGCTTGAGCTCTTCGCGGACGGCCTTGTAGACGCCCGCGGGGCGGATTTGCCTGCCGCCCATGATGGCGGAGAGGCTTTGATTCGGAGTGGTGAAGTTTTTCTTTTTTTTCTTTCTCGAGGCTGATTCACTGAGGCTTCGGGAGGGTTGTTTTAGGTGGTGAATTGGGGCTGGAGTTGCGGTGATTCAACGGAATCGTCCTTGTCGAGATGGGAATTCGATGTTGGTGGATATTGGTCGTGCGATGAATATGGAAATTTTGGGGGTCGTCGGCGAATTATTCGGCCGCCCCGCGTTTGTACTTGTAACGGGCATCAAACCATCTACAACAGCTTGCTTTCAGTACATCTTCAAGCCATTGTGCAATGAATAAACTCTCAATTGAGGCATTATTTCGAAAATTTTAATTAATCAAGTTGGTCATTCGATCCATGTTGTTATATGACAATTCCAACTTTGCAATCATCCACCAAGTGAATCTCCGCCGTAGAAAGCAATGCTTAGTCATCCACACGGAGATACATCACGTCACAGCCAACCTCACCCAAGGATATCAATAATCTCACATGCAAAAAACAAACAACACCACATCTCAACACCATAAATCTCAACAACAACAAAAAACCCCCATCATGGCATCCGACAAAACAGCAGTCGAAAAATCCATAACCGAGCGTCTCACCGAATGGGGCTGTAAGTCCTCCCCCCATCCTCCATCTTACACCCCCCCAAAAAAAAACATCACCCTCATCTCACATATAACAACATCCTCAACAACAACAAAAACTCATCTCTAACAAAAAAAATTAAAAAATCTCCAGCATCCTCCCTCCCCCCCTCCCTCCTGGCAACCCTCATCACCGCCCTCCACGCCCGCCCCCTCCAGCCCCTCCCCCTCACCCTCTTCACCCCAACCCTCCTCTTCTCGTCCTACCTCAACCTCTCGGGCTACCCAACCGCCAGCGCAGGGCTCACCGCCGCATGGTCCGGCCTCTACGCCCTGCTCGCCCTCCGCAGGCGCCAGGCTTTCCGCGCAAAGCTGAGCATCCGCGGCGTCGTGCGCGGGACGGCCGTCGGGCTGGGAGCCGCCAACTGCGTGGCGGGAGGTTGGGTATATCTGCATGGCAGCAAGGATCGGGATAGGGACGACAGGGAGAGCCGGAATCGGTGGGGGCAGTTTGACGACAAGAAGTGAAATGACAAAGAAAAAATTGGGCGAGGAGAAAGAAGGCGGGAAAGTATTCGTGGCGGAAGATGGATGGAGAGGGCATTTGTATGACTACCTGGAGAACGACTGGGACTTCGTTTTGGTTGGGATAATGAAATGTATACTATTACCTACTTGCACATGTTTAGCGTGGAATAAGAATTACGCAAAATTCACAGTCATCACTCTGTAGATGAAATTGGCGATACAAATATGTTTCGTATTCAACCATGGGCCAAAAAAGCCTCCAAAGTAAGTGTCAGCCACTACCGTCTATACAGATATTGGATAACAAAGTTCAATATCCACATCCCAAATCCACAACAAACCAAGGGTGATAATGATGATATGATAGTTAAAAAAAAAAGCGAGATGGGGTACACAAGGTAACTTAATTAGCATGCAAAGCGCAACAATCGTGTGCTTTTACATCGCCACCTCTTCTAACAAAAAAAAAAGTCGACAAATGAAACAAGAAGAAGAATATCATCATCACACAAAAAACGCCGATTCGCAGATCGTCTCAGCTCTTGAAGTCTCTGCGAGCCCAATCCCCACCCATAAGATCCCAAGTACAAATCTGTACCGCGATGCCTTTCCCGTGCAACACCCAACACTTGAATAATAGAATGTTCCGTAAACCATGTTCTATATCTGCGGTCTTGATACCGCGTCTCTCTCCGTCTCTCTCCGATTCTCTCTCTCTTTCTCTTTTCGTTCTCGCTTGCGATTCTTTCGGATGGCGTTGTCGTAAATAGAAAAAGCTGGAGTCGCAATAACAAGGTACATCTTTCAGCCAACTTTTTTTTTTAACTTTTCCGAAAATGGGTCCTAGCTGGACATGTCGTTGCGGTGGCCAACCATGCGAGAACCAGACACCAGCCATATTGACGTGACCACGGCAGTGAACAAAAGGGTCCTCATAAATGACCGCACTTGGAGTGGGCTGAAGCGCGGATTCTCGGCATGGACCGACCGAACCAAGGTAATCTCGAGCGATCTGGGCTGAAATGAGGTGATGTACTCAACATCACATTCCCGAGCCTTGGGGGAAGCATAGGTGGTGTACTCGTCAACGGTTCTGTCGAGGCCCCAGCCAGACAGCTTGCGGACAACGGCGACGACGCATCCGGTACGGTGCTTTCCATGGTTGCAATGGATCATGAGAGGGTAGTTTTCCCGGTTCAGAACCAGTTCGAGAATGGCGGCCATGGTGGCGGGCGGAATGGGTTCTTTCTTGGTCCCCTTCATGTTGAAGACGGCCTGTTGGATGCCATTGGCAGCGATAAAAGACTCAAGCTCGTGATCGGGCTCATCTTTCTTGACCAGGGTGCTAAGACGGGGTTAGCTTTCAGAGTGAGCAACATGGACAGGTGCCAACACATACACTATCGTCTTCAGCTTCAGGCTCTTCAAGAAGGAATAGTCTTCCTTCTTAGGATAGCTGCTTCGATAAACACCAGGAACAACCAAGCCAAAGTTGACTGGTCTACCATACATGGGCGCTGTCGGGAATTCTGTGACGTTTGTGGCAGTAATTGATACCACTGATCCGTTTGATGTAGAGCCTAGGAAATGGTCAGTACTGTTCAGATGCCATGCAAAAGAAGGAGAAGGAAAGGCGCGTAGCAACTCACGAGACATAGCGCTAGCCTTGGGTGCCGTTGAAGATGGCAGTGTCTGCTGAACTGCAGCGCGACGCTGAGTGCGTGAGATGGCCTGTTCCTCGCTCAAACTCCGGTCATCCGCGACACTTTGCGTCTTCATCTCGGACGTTGAGAAGGAGAGGTTTTCGAGTATCAGGTCGTGATCTTGCGTCGGAAGCAGGGTGGGAAACAGTTGGGGAGAGGAAAGAGAAGTTTCAGAGGCAAAGGGGAGGATGGTATTGTCGGGGAGAATATGTAGTGCCATGCCGAGCAGCGCGCGTCGTTTATTTATGCTGATCGGTGTATTCCCTTGTCTGCGGAACCGAGCTCGATGTCTGATGGCCGATGTATCTATGGGACTCTAACCTTAAACACAGCAACTTGAGTGGAGTGTTCAGCCAGAGTATAGTAAAGTTCGTGACGGGAAGATAACGGTACGGAGGGTAGTGATTGAGGCAAGCCCGTTTGGTCGAATGCGAAATCAGTGTTCAGGAAAGAGGCGTGAATAGGCTCAAAGGCGAGATTTGCGTCTTGAGACCGTGACCAAGGAGGGACAAGAGTTGAGTAGAGTAGAGTAGAGAGCAGAGAGTAGAGGGGCGGTCGTTTGAAGCAAGGATTTTTGCGGTCGACGGACGATATGCTTCACAAGGCACTGCTAGCGGGCAAGGCCTAAAGCTAAAGGATGGTGGGATTCTTGCTGGAAGAATCAAGAGGGAGTTGAGAAGCCATCTTGACGAGAGTGGGAGAAGGCCAGTGTAAAAGTAGGTACGAGAGAGTTGCAGGCTTCGGTCAGGAAGAACAGGCAAGGTCGCGTGGGAGGATGTGGGAGGGAGATCGCCAGGTTGGAGGACGACTGAGACGGGCATGGGGGGGTTTACAGGGCACTGCATTGTGTGTTCCAGTGAGTGTGCACGGCTGGGTACTCGTACGGGTACGTACCGGCCAGGCGAGCAGCCGTAGGTACCGGGCAGGGTCCAAAGGCGCAACATGCGAGGAGCGAGGGTAGCGGGTACGGTGGGCGGCGAGTGGGTGCGAGTATTGGGTACGGCAGGTGGCAGTTGAGTTTAGTGGTTGTGACAAGTACTCCCTACCAGCCCCGTCGCATGCCTCGGCGGTACCCAGTACGCAGCAGCCAGACCACCAGACCTTTCCTCATACCCATTTTAAAACTGCCCCCCATGCGCATCCCACAAACCCTGGTCGGTCGGCACAGCTTATGTACAGTACATGTACTTCTCCGTACAGAGGTCAGTATTTAGTTACATAGAGGTAGGTAGAGCCTTTTTCCTGGCTTGGGGCCGGAATTGGTGGCATCGCGGTGGGCCGGCTGCTGGAGCGGGCCTGTGCCCAGTATTGGATCAGTCGTGCCAGACGGTACAGTACAGCACGGGCAGTGAAGCTGGCTGTCCGGTAGCGGGCAATTTTAGCGCATTGGGGGGTCGCTGTTCATGCTGTTGGCCCGGGTTGGGTTGGTACTCTGGAGGTACTCACGGACGCTGTTAGTGCCGTTCCGTCTCTCGGATCGCGGCTGCAGCGGACATCTTTTTTTTTTCCCTTCTTTCTTTTGCTTCTTTTTCTTTCGGTGGTCCAAAAGAGAGCGAGAGAGGAAAAGGAAATGGAAGCCATTGAAGCTTGTGAATCGCTAGTCGAGCATGGTCTATTGCCCAGGTAGCAGCGGTTAATGTGACTGCTGTGCCATGCCTGACTAAAGGTACTTCCACGGCGGTCCATGGCGAATTTGCTCTCCATGCTTCCAGCGGCTTACGAAGCAATGGAGAGCTTCTATGGGGACGGAGACTTGATGAAAAAAAGCCCAAGAGTTGGATCATCCAACCGCCTTTGCACAGTACATGCTCCGTACACGCGCCTGTACTCCAATTTACTCGCTCGCCCTTATTTCTCCAGCTGCTCGTTCCCGCAGCCCCCCTTCGTTTAAGTCGTCGAATTAGAAAGCTTCTCCCTCTGTGGCGAGAGTCTCGACAAAGGATCCCAGCGCCCACCCATTGCATTTCTGCTGGTGGCTGGGCTGCACATCTTGGGCTTGCAGCTAGCCTTGCTCAACTCGGTTCTGGGGCACCGGCACCACTGGCTTCAACCCGCTGGAGGATGCAGCTCTTTGCATGTGCATGCAGGGAGACATGCAATATTTGATGCTTACTACGGATGGATTGTGATATTGAAGACAGCCCGTCGTGACGGCTCAACGACCAGTATCGCCGCTGCAAGTCTGATTGGGGCCGCACGTACGGAGGAGATGCGTGCCCTGTATGTGCTCACGCGACTCAATTCCAGATGGGTGTCGTTATGGAGTTAGATGTGGTGAAATGGCGGCTCAATTCTTTCGGTCCTGTTGCCAACACACAAGTGCATGCGCCGACATTTCATCGCGCTCTCTCTCTCTCTCCTCCCCTCGACTCATCTCCCCTTTCAAGCTAGCCAAAGAGTCTAGAATAGAGCGTGTCTCAGAGAGCTGTCAGGCCAGAGACGCCACCGAGGCAAACACTAAAGCCTCCGCGGCACAGGGATGCAGGCCACCGCCGCCCACGCAATTGGACCCTGAGATGAAGATGGCTCTCTGGTCATGTCATTCGGCAACCCGAGATTTGCTGCGTCTTCTCTCATTCGCTGTATTTCGGGCTCTAGCACGCCAGCACAGCTGTCCATGTGGAAGATTGCTTTGGACCCAGATCGCAGGGATGCGTGATGCTATTTTCACCAATGTCTGGATGCGGAAATGACACACGCGGAATGCTTTGTCCAGGCCCAACCTCGACACGACAAAATGTCCAAGTTATTTACCGTTGCTACGAGTCCACGGCTTAGAAAGCGTCGCTTTTTTATTAAGGCGAAGCAAAGGGGGGAGCTAAGACGTCAACGATTTGTTGGAGCTTCTCCTCACTCACTCCCACGCTCGGTCTTTCTCCTCACAAGCCACCCCGCGCTGACCATCGGCCGCCGAAGGAAAAAACAAAGGATGACGAGTAAAAAATAAAAATAGCACGCTGCACGATGATATCAATTTGATCCGTTAGGGATCTGCGTGACTGGGTGATACTTGTATATACGGGTGGCTGCAGCGATTTGCTGTTGGTGCACATGTTGGGATCGAGAACCTCTCGGATCGCCTGGGACGACTCAGCCCGTACGAGTACGAGTACTCGTAGTGGTGCCTACATCCTACAGTACATGCACCCAACCAGGCCTGCCAAGGAGGCTCAGGTTCTATCGGGCCTCGTTCCACCGCGACAAGTTCCCCGGAATGCCTGAGACGTGATGTGATGCGAGTGGGAGCAAATGCCCGATCCTACGGTACGGAGCGCCAAAGACGCGGAAGCTCCTCTAACCACGGCCAGCCATCCGTCCGTCCTGGTGATCAGGTGTAAACGAGGTTGGATTCGGACTAGGTACCAACACTGCATGCAGTACTACCCCGAAATCAGCGAGAAGTGCCTTCTACGGCATATCTCTACCTTGGGTGCTTTGTCTTTACCTTGCGGTCCCAAGCAGCTGGGTAGCCTCATTGATGTCAATACTCGAGGCCGTCATACGACCACACAATACGCCCCATCCATGGATTATACAGGCGCATACGATGCCGAGGAAACGTCCATAAACTCGTAGGCACAACTTGCTGCAACCTTCCCATCCAGTCATCCCCATCACCGGCGACGCAAGTAATCTGACAGGCCCGGTCCAAACACGCACATCATCACGCCCATCACCTGGTACGTGTCCCTACTGTACCCCAAACGACCAGACCTTCTCCTCAGCCGCAGCGCCAGGATCTCTGTTATTACTACCTTACATGTGACATGCAGCCCCCTCGATATCCCCAAAGGAGCGTTACGCGCGTGTGTACGGAGTAAGTAGGTACTCGCCCTGCCATTCCAGCCGTCACGATACAATCGAACACCGTCACCTGACAGTACCCCATAGAATAGGGGGTCGTTTCGCGAGATCTAGACAATTACAGTACGCTGGATCGCAAAAGGAGACGAGACGGCCCGGATGGCGAGCGGATCTCGTCTCGTCTGTCGACTGGCCGGCCAACAAGCCGTAATTACTGGAACGGCCTGGGTTTGATGACTTTGGAAGCGCCTTTTAGACGCGGATGGACCGCAGTATCACGCGAGCTACGAGGTCGTACCTTGATAAAAAAAAATACATACTAGTACACAAATAAGATAAACAAATAGATGTATAAATAAAATCACGAGAATAATATTTCCGGAAACCTTCTAGGCGTGATTCAGTTCCAACTTGCACCCACAGATGGAACTCAAATCAGGCACTCGCACTCGTTCTCCGTATTTTAGGCGCAAAAAAGGCAAAAGCGCGCATACAGCGAGATGCCCCGTATCTGCATGTACCCCCCAAGTACTCCGGCAGTTGGTCCCATTACCAATCCACTTGGGCCTCGTTAATTGCTTCCAACATCAGGGACCACGGAGTTCGGAGCTCTTTTCTCTGCAAGTTGGGCCAGCCCGCTCCGTTTGCTCATCAACGGCGTTTGTACTCGCATGTACGCGCCAAAAGGTAAATTAGAAGTTGGGAAATTGCTCTGCGTTCAAGTCGTCCCACGCGACACAGTGCCGAATATGACTCTATTTCCCTCTTGTACTCGTACAGAACGTTGTACATGGAACACTGTACAGAAGTTCTGTTGCTTCGTCGAAAACTCTCCGTCTCGCCCGCAGAGCAATTTCCCAGTTCGGGCCAGGTTCTTTTCTCCCTTCTTCTCACCAGCTTTAAATCCGTGGAACAAAGAAAACCTGACAAGCCCATCTACGTATTACTTTGCGCTTGTTGGCCAGAGGTGGCAAAAGCCCGCCCAAAAACGCCCAAAGCTTAGATAGATGTAGAAGTTTCCCCGTCATTACGATTTGCTTCAAGAACATTTCCTGCTGGCCCAAAGCAACACAGAACACAACAAAAATAAATTACACGCGACAAGCTACCGGTTTTCGTCACCGAGCCTTGCGCTTTGGCCGCGAGCTAGCCATGCAGCCTAGATTGCTTCAGCTTTAGGTAGGCCTGAGCCGCTGCAGAATAACATTGAATTGGATACGACGCTGTTTCTTTTCGCATCCAATTCGTAAACCGAGGCTGCAACTGTCCAGGCAGATGAGGAAATTCAATCGTTCAGCCCAATCGCCAAAAGACGCGAAGCCGAAGCGGCACCGACAGACCAGCTGCTCTAGTAGTAACACACCCTCTTTTTTCTCGCTTGGGCAAATATTTCCGGAGGCAGCGAGTAAAGCCCGC